TTTTTTTTTTGGGGGGGGGGGGGGTGGCAAGTTGGTTTGTGTAGTTTTTCTAAAACAGATTTATTTGCAGATGGACTTTAAAAAAAAAAAAAAAAAGTATGTTGGTATTGTACTTCTACTTGTCAGCCAGTATGTGCTGTTGGTTATGTTGGTTGTGTGGTATGTTATAGGTAGTCTGTATTTTGGATTAGAAAACTACAGTAACTAAGAATAACTGGCATTATGGCCAAACCAGCTGTTTTAAGTCTAGCAGGAGAAAAATCAAAATATTTGTCATTACTACAGATACCAATATAAAACAACTTTACAAATAAAGCAGTTTGGTTTTAATCTTCATACAATTTGAATCACCTGTGTTCACTGTTTAATACTTCATCATATGTTTGGTGCTGGGGAAGAGTGACAATGGCATGCAAATATTGTGGATAGCTGCCATGTGATCTTGTAGTACTGATCATAGGCATTTCACTTCAGAACTGATAAATCTGTGACCAAAAGCAATTGATTGGAAGAGGGTCGAGGGGGAAAAAAAATACATGCTTACATGGTGTTCTAACTGTTATGTAGGTACATGTCAGATGTAAATCTGAAAAAGGTACCTCACAGAAAACAGTAACTTGGACTTCAAAGTCTCTGCGCATTGGTTAAAGGTTACTTTGCATAATACAGAAGTGGATGAGTGGAATAAAAAGGGACTTTCCTAAGTTCTTGATATTTTCCTATCAAGAATAGCAAGCTTTCAGGACTTCTTTTTATAGAAATTGCAGCTTTTATGTGGAAAGACGCTGGAGTTGTGTAAAGAAGTTGGCATGACATTGTTCTTTTGTTGTAAATTTTCCTTTCTATATATAAATTCCACATTAAATTATGTCTGTATATATCTTCATAGTAAAAGTCTCCATCAGTGACAAAGTGATACTGAGCTGCTTTAATGTAGTGGTTCCTGTGAAAGCAAGGCTATGTATATAAAAATAGATGTAGTTGAATATCTAGTCACTGGCAGTGGTTTTCAACAAGTTTTATAGTTGCTATTGCTAAGAACTCCATAGTCTCTATATACAGAGAGCAAAATTTCCAGCTGAAACCAAAATTCTTGCTTTTTAGATAATTACACGTAAAAGCTTGATGCAAATCTAACAATTGGTTTTCTTTTTTGCAGTGACTTCTGTACTTTAGCATCTATTAAAGTGCATAACATTGTAGTGATGATGCAGTAAGTATGGAAACTTCCTGTTTGTTGGAAACAACTTTAAAAGCCATGTAATTCTTATTGAAATATTACTCAGAAATACTTAATCTTGCAGTATGTGCATCGTAGAAAGCAAGTTGATTTAATTTAATGTAATAGCTTTATAGTTCCTGAAACTGAACTGTGTCTGATGACAGGTTCTGATGGTATACAGGTGCTTGAACAAGTGGAACTGTTATTATTGTATCTGCTCTGCAGTTCGGCTGCAGCTGTGGAGCTGCTAAGGTCTCAGATACTTAGAAATGAGTTTATATTCAGCTGCTGTTCAAAACTTCCCATGATCTTAATGATCTTGAAGCAGTTACAGGGTTTAGTACTCTGCACTAGTCCACTTTTCATGACCGACTGTATAAATAACAGCATGGTGGGTTGGGTTGGGTTTTTTTGGGGGTGGGGGGTGGGGAGATGTACACCAACCGTGGTTGTATCTTCTCTAATCATTTACTTTCTCCTCGCAAGGGAAGGTATTGATGCGTAAACCTCAGCTTTACCACTACCTTTAGAAATAAGTCTGTGTTCAAGGAACCAAATGTCTTTCATGGAGAAAACCTGTAGTGGTAAACTAGTATTGGTTTTAACTTTAAAACTTATTTTGTTCCAAAACTTTTTTCCTTAAAAACCCTAATAACATAAACCCACTGATCTTTAGAATAGAAAACTCAAGTCTCCTACAAAAATAATATTTCTTCTCTTTTGTCTTTTATTTAAGAGTCACAGTGACAACCTCTTATTTTGGCCACTCTGAGCAAATATCCCAGGAGAGATACCAGTATGTGGACTGTGGAGGAAACACAACCTACCAGCTGGGCCAGTCAGAATATTTAAATGTACTTCAGCCTCCGCAATAAAAGCACCTGTTGGTTAGTGTGGAATGACTGCTGTTGATGCTTGCAGAGATCCTTTGAATAGGACTGGTACTACGTGAAGGGGAGAGTATGTGCATGTAAAGCATAGGAACATGGTGACCTGTTCACTTTAGATGCAAGGAGGGAAGAGGTGCAAAATGTATATAGGTGCACTTGTTAAATGTTGTGTTTTCCCCTTCTGTTAGCTTTTTATTGCTGTAAGCACTTCTGTCAAGTTGTGTGGTGGGAGGGAGAGGGGGAATATCAGATTCTTGAACTGGGACCTTTCCTTACAGTGTGGTACATCAACATAGAGTAACTGTGTGTATGTCTGTGTTTAGGTGAAATGTGTCACTAATAAGCACTTTAGAGAAATTTAATACTTACAAATTTTTTTATACTTCAGTTCTTGATATTTGGCTATTGAAACTGGCAGTATTACTACTTAAGTAACAAGATTACTTTGAGGTATCTGGGTGTGAAACTTATGTTAGCAAGCCAGTAGTAATAGTTCTTTATTTTGGGATTCTACTTTTAATTTGCTAGACATGATTAGGGGTGACATGCAGCCTGTTGAAGCCAGGAAAACTCTCTTGGATGACACTATACTTGAATGTGCAACGTCTAGGTTCTGGCATCTTTTCATTCATACTCCCTCCTGCTACCTCTGGGACATTAGAAGAAGAATGTGTGTTGTTAAATTTAAAGTTGGGTTTAAAAACAAAACAAAAACCAACCCCCCAGGATCATTACTGACAAAGGAAAAAATCTAGACTATAGGAAATAAATGGGTAAGAACTTTAGCAGTGTCTCTTTACCTTGTTTTTGAGTACAGCTATTAAAGTCAGGATTGTGCAGTTGGAACTAGGTGGGAAACTGTTTGAGCATGGGTCTGGGCAGCTTGATGTAAATTTTCATCATTTTTACTGTTTTAATATGCTGTGTATTTAAGCTACTTCTAAGTGTTAATATGTTGGGGTGTGTATATTTAGTGTACAGACTCGGTAAGCGATGTGGTAGTTACCTGAATCTCCAGAGCACTCAGTTCACATCAAAGCTATGTAAGGGAGAATAAAACAACTCTTGCTGCAAGAGTAAATGCTGATGTGATCATGAGACTGACTTACAATGAAGATGTTAAATAGTTTTAGTAGGATAGTTTGCACAGTGAGAATTTCTGGAGTTATCAAATATGCGATTGTAAATTTTGGGGTCCAAATTTGCTTGACTTATGAAGGCTGACTGTTCTGAGGGTTAGGTACAAAACTGTTTCATTAACTAGATCAGGATTTTTTTAATTTCTGAATTAAGATGTAGCTGTAAGAAGCTACTATTGAGACTTATGTTTAATGCATTTTTTTTTAAATTGATGTTATGGTTTTTATGCTGCCTATCTCCTGGAAATAAGCTATATAAAATGAATTAGCAATAAACACTATGAAAAAGGCTGCTGAATAACTTTTTGCAACTAACAATCTCTTATGCTTCAATATTTCAGCGAAAGTACATGTCTATATTACCCTTTTTCTTTTTTGGCCTTTCTTAGGTGGACCTGGTTGCATGGGTGGGGGAAAGAATATCAGTGTTGTAAGACTGCTTTAAAAGAAATTTAAGTAACCAAACAAAAAAGCTTTCCTGTTTGAATTGCTATGAGCACTTATTCTAAACGCCTGTGAAAAATTTCAGAACCTGAACTGTTGGTTCATATAATTAAGACGAAGATGTCAGCTTTGGAGAACTTCTGGAACTGGAATAGTCTATTCTGATGACTTACTGTAGCTACATGCTGAAAATTATTTGTGAATCTGGGCGCTTAAAACTAAACATTCTTTATTATAGCTTATAATCGTAAGGGAAGCTAGTTCACAGTTGATTCTAATCTGCCTAGAGCATAGATAGTGTTCAGTCCTGTGGCTGATAAAATGCATGCGGAAGCTTTTCTGATAGTCTGAGAAGATGCAGGTGGTATAAGTAAAGACCACGATGGTGGAGAGCTGGCTAGAAGCAGAGAGGTAAATTCTTTGTGTTATCTCTTGTAGTAAGATTTGTTTATATTGGAGAACAGGGAGAAAATTCTGGTTTAAATCATGTCAGATCTGAAGTCAAGCAGCAAGTGATACAGGTTTTCTCTTCTAGGCCAAAGTGTTTACACCTAGAGTGTTGGTTTTGTTTGAAACTTGTTGTTTGTTTTAAAGTAGAAAAAGAAGAAAAAAGATCTAGGCAAATATTTATATCAACTTAAATTTTTCTTCAAAGGATAAAGGTAGTTAGAATAACTAGAGTGGCACAATGATAAAATTGATACGGCTTGAACAAGCATGGCAGGGGAGATTACACTGTTGCACAGTGAGACTCAGACTGACCTTTGAAAGTTTGGCAGGCATGCTGAGCGAAATATATAAATCTGGGTTTTAAGTTCCATGAAATGCTTGGTATTGTCTAATTTAAAGAATTACAAGTGGAATCATTCATTCCATGTATGTGGCAGAAGGGGGAAGATACAACTCCTAATGTCTGTCATCAGGGGTATCTAATGGCTATGAATCTTAACACCATCAATTTGTAGTAGACTTACTGAAAGACTGAGTGTTCTCATTTAAAAAGAAAGTAAAGGGTGGAATAAAGACCCTGTTGGTGAATCCTCACCTTAAGTCAGTTACAGGAGCATCAAAGGCTTAAGATTCTGCAAGTGCTAGTATGTTCTTGCAAGACTGTCAGCATATTGCTAACCAAACAAAGCAAGTATTTGGATTTAACTACTAAGTTTAATATAACATCTTGTCAGATAAGCAGGTAAGCATCTGTTTGAATACTTAACTTAGACTTCATTTCTGTGGCTGAGCTTGGAAACATGCTAAGGGAGGAAGGGAAGTCAGTATTAACTTGTATAACTTTATAAAACTATGAGGGTAGATCCAAATGATAGACCTGTAATCATTTCACACTTACTTATCTTGATTGTAAAATAAAAAAAGCAAGCTTTTCAGTTCACTGTAAATCAGTAAGTGCAAATTCTTTTCCAGAAGATCAGCTTAAAATGTAAATTTTTTTCTAGTTAGTTTTCCTGGTTGTAAGATGATTTCTGAATGACTTCGGAGTGATTCATATATCAGTTGCAACTTCCCCATAATCTTCAAATACTGTCAAATACATATATACTGGCATTGTATTGTTGTTTTTCAAGGGATTTATTTCTAGTATAATTTTTTTCATTTGAATTACTTGTAGCAGTTCTGTACCAAAATTTGTTGCACTTCAAAATGGAAGCTCTGTTAGTTATCTTTTAAAACAGTGGCCCAGGTGTTGCACTGTAATGGCACAATTGGAAAATGTAATGTATTCTGTATAGAATAACTGTAAAACTAAGGAATTATAACAAGGTAAACTAATAAGGAATGCATGAAAATGTCAGCTATTTGGCCATTCTGACATGGAGAACAGAACTATTTTAAATGTGATGCTCTAAAAATAAATAAAGCCACCAAACAAACTCAAAGATCTAAGCATCAAATAAGGGAAGCACTCTTAATAAAAGATGTACTACCTGACACTCTGAGATTCTGCAGGTTTTTCCCCACACCAGGAATTCGTTTGTAATGTGTTTACTCATCTTGATATTTAGAGGATAGTTGCTTAATTCTTAATCTTTTGTGAAGGCGAACACAACTATTCTGTGTGATATAGATTTGTAGTTCTTAATGTGCTTCTGATGTGTGCATGATCATACTAACACTGGTGTTCATGGTTTGCAGCCTTATGTTGGCAGACTTAAGTACATGCCTTAGTGGACTTTGCTACAGATTGTCCTTGAAGTTCTGCAAGTGAATAAATTTTTTCAGAGTAGTACATTGCAAACATGACTGGGCTTTTTAGTGTGTGGTTCCAACCAGTTAAGCACTGAGTCTCTAAGTGCTTGGATTGAGCTGTTAAGGTCTTTAACCATCTGACTGAAGTGTTGTGCCCTCGTGGGAGGGATAGTGCTTAGAGTAGTATGAGAGAGATTCCTAGATCCAGAAAATGTTAAAAGTTATTTCCTATTCAGCATTTAATTCAGCTTCCTTTTTTTGTGGTGGTGATGGGGTGGTTGGTTGTGGTTTTGCTTTTCTTCCCACTCTCCCAAATCTGTAATGGGACATCAATCTGTTCCCAGACAGTATCTTCTGAAATGGGTGACTTGTTTCAGAATTGGACAGTTATGTGAAGCTTGGCATCAGCTGGACTGGACTTCAAGAGTTATGAGAAGTAAGTCTAGCATCAATACCTCTAAGAACTAAATTTTTTTACTTGCTTGCTAACAAAATGCCACAACACTAGCAATGCTTTCAGGCTTACTATTGCTTCTGAAAGTAAAGAAGTGCAACCAGTGTATGTCAGTATTGGGCTACTGCAACCAACAAAACACTTGTTAGTGTTGACCCTGATCACACCAAAAAAATCTAGGTTGTTTTTTTGGCCTTGGAGGGAGTGGGAAGGGGAGAGGAATAAAACCCAGGCCAAAACCTGTTGAAAACAATAATTTGGAGTCTGGCAAAAACATCCAGTGTTGTCTACTTGAGAGGTCACCCTCCTGTTTTACCTTTAACTGGGGAATTCTGGTCATTACCAGAGGGGTAGTTTGTACTGCTGCCCTACAGTTTGTCATGTAAACCTGTTTGTCAGCCTGTAGGCAGGCCTGTTGGACAGGAAGAGTTGTCTGCAAGGAATTGGTACAATTAAAGTTAGTATTGGGTCCTGCAGTGTAGTGTGAGACTGTTCGGCAGTAACATACTGATCCTTGTACTGTCTGCTTTCACCAACCATCCTAAGGGTCTTACAACCTGGATGTGTGTGTCTCTTGGGTGCTGAAACGGCTTTTGCTTTGTATGGGCAGGGATACTTAGAGCCAGACATGCAAGTATGTTATGGTGCCTGAATATTTTGGGTCTGACTGTCAGTGACTTAGTTCTTTTCTTGTTTAAGGAAGCAAACTTGACCACTGTTAACATCCACTGTACAGAGTGTGCATATAATAGCTTGAGATATGTATAGAAATACTAATGAGTGATAACTATTTTTGTAACTTAAGAATTGTAGACTGTTGTTCTTGTAACTGTGTAACAAGCAATCTATCAACTTAAGCATGACAAACACTATAAGTCAAAGGGTATTTGGGAATGACTTGTAGGACACAGAAGTAATGTTAATGTAAGTTAACTGGGGCATGGGATCTTGTTATTTAGAGGATCAAAATGTGGAGTTAACTTCATTATGAACATGTTTCTAGACAGAATTGTTTGACTCAAAGAATGATATTAAATTTTCTATTAAAAAAAAAAAAAACCAAACCTTGCGTCATGTATTTTTTTTTTAAACTGATTTAATATTTTTTTCTCTCTTCTTTCCCTGTCGTCTTAAAAGTTTTCCCCCTATTTCCCTGTATTTTTCCCACAAGCTTTCATGCATTTTCAAGGGTATGATTACATTTTATAACTGTTGCCGTTCCATGATGTAAAGACTTTTCGATCTGCTTTTTTTTTTTTAATATTTTAAGTCTGTAATAAACTGGAGTATCTGACAGCTAAGCACCATCTGTGAATGAGTTACGGTTATCTGACTGAACTACTAAAGTAACTGAGTTTAAAAAACAGGCTCTTTTGGTGGGTTGACCTTAACCAGCAGGTCAGCCTTCACCCAGTTGCTCACACTTTTTCCCCTCGTGGGATGGTGGAGAGAATCTGAAGGTCAAAAGCCAGAAAACTCATGGATCAAGATAAAGACAGTTTAATAGGGGAGCAAAGCTGTGTACACAAGCAAAGCAGAATAAGGACTTTATTTCCTACATCAGGCAAGTGTTTAGAAGGGAGAGACAAACACCATAACCCCGAGTGTTTGTTCTTCCTTTTCCTGAGCTCTTCTTGCTGACCATGATCTCATGGAATATCCCTTTGGTCAGCTGGGGGCATCTGTCCTGGTTCTGTTCCCTCCAAGTTCTTGACTACCCTCAGCCTGGTTGCTGCAGGGTTGGGGGGGTGGGGCAGGGGGGGAAGAGGAAGAAGAGGAAGAGGCAATGAAAAAGGGAACCTTTGTGCTGTATGAGCATTGCTCAGCATTAACCAAGATACTGGTGTGTTATCAGGACTGTTTTAGCTGCAAACCCAAAACAGCACTATGTGGGCTGCTGTGAAGAATATTAACTCTGTCCTAGCCAGACCAAATACAGTTACTTAGAAAGTTATTTTAAAGAGCTATTACTGCTTAAAAGCTTTAATCTTTAGGAGCTGGACTACAAAGAACATGGCTTTATTTTAAGCATTCAGAACACTTTTGATGTTGTTACTGGTAGTCTGTCACAGTTGTCTTGGAACATCTTAGTGGGGTTTTTCAAGCTTCTGGAGAAACCTCTTGTGTAATCATGATGTATATACATGGTTTTCTGGTATGACTTCTAATGGATAACTAATGGGGGTTTAGGGTGTTGGGGTTTTTAGGCTTTGTTTCAGCTTGTGGATCTCTTTAGAAATTCTTATTTTTTTAAAAAGAGTTTGGAGGGGAAAATCAGTCATGCTTGCTGTTTTCTTTCTCATATGGTCATTTTTCCTTCCCAGAGTTGTAACTGTTGTCCAAACTTTCCTGGGTGGACAGGCCCTTTACTGAACACTGTAAACTGGAGAACTGTAACCTTTAGCCAGTGTTTCACTGTATGTAAATAAGAGCTTGAAGACATGAAGAATTGCTTCTCTCTTGTTTTACCTGTCCCCAGACAGGTAGGTGAAAGTATGTCTTCAGCAGCGAACAGTTATGGTTTGACGTATTTGGATCAAATAAATTATTTTGATTCCTCTCCTGTTTTTTCCATCTGAGCAGGTAGGGGAGTACAAAGGTCGGGAGTTCCTACCAGGCAAATCTCAAACATCCCCTTGTCTGGCTGGAGGGTGTGAAAAGTATTGAAAGGGAATACAATGACAGATGGGAATATGTAAACAAATGTGAGTTTGGAGGGGTTTAAGGACCTAAAAATTGCTATTCTAGAACACCCAAAGTAGGTGGTTTTGAGCTAATTACTGAAAGATCTGGCATCTTAAAATGGCCCAGTTTCAAAGACCCAACAATGACAGAAACTTCTGAAAGGCTTTGGAGGTTTCCCTGCATGGTTGTAGGCTGCTTTCCTTTTACTTCTCAGAATTTCATACAGCTTTCTATATAACTGTGTAAGTGAGCACATACTTGCAATATGTTACTGTGCCAATATATTCATTTCAGGATTTTGGGTACACTTGTGATGAATGACGCTAACTGCCTTCCAGGGTGAAGATGATGTCTATCTGGCAACTTAAAGAATGCCAAATCACACATTTAATTTTGCTCAAAATATCTTTGTCAGATGAGGTAAAGACACCTCTACATTTTTGTTTTGATTTTTTCCATTTATTTTTCTTCTCCAGGAATCCCTGCCTCTTAAGCCTGAAGAGCCAAGGTGCTGCACTTGTGTTTCCTGTGTATGGGTAGCAGGTGGCACACAGCACCCATGACAGCTCATTAAACTATGGAGCTGACACCACTCCATAATGGAGCTGCTTTCTTCATGAGCCAGTGAATCAACTAATACAGTAAAACTAGAACTTGATTAAGGAGCTGAGACATCACTGTAATGTAACATTTCACTGACTACAGTTATGGGTATCTGAAAGATAATGATGTATATCATTCTTGAGAGGTTTTTAGGAAGTAACACTTCTATCAACCATAGCAATATAGTTGAGGTTGAGAAATGAACATAATTTGCCTATGTCTGACTTTTCCTCTGACAATCATACTGCAAGGCTGCTGTTCTGATACTGGTCAGAGGAATGAAAGAAGAGTTACCTCAATAGATGGTAATGTAGACAAAGTAAAACGGTATGTTCAGGTAATGCCTAAGCTATAGTGACACTTTAATTTAGGGTTGAATGTACTGCACTGGTCTTACTAAGAAGGACCACTAAACATTGGCTCTATTATGTAAGCCTGATACTTTGTATAAACGATGCAAGGCTTGCTAATGGCTATACCCTTGAAGCAGAGCTAAAAGACTGATAAGAGGGGAACATCCTGGCCCAGAAGGTGCTAAAGGCTGAATAATTGCCTGAGAAGCATGAAGTCAGTGAAAACTGGCAGTAAGTCGGAGAAAGGTACATGTGGCAGGTGTAGACTATGACCACTAACTCAATTTAAGACCAATAAGATGTGCCCTCCCTCACCCTTGAATTTTCACAGAATTATTAGAAGATGCTAATTTTTAATTGAGATGAGGCTTGTTTTTTAACCAATGATGAACAAAGTGGTAAGAAACTAACCAATGATCATTACAGTACATGTGTATTTGTGTAGTTTGAAGCATATAAATAAACAAGTTCTCTTGTGTGGTGTGCTAGCTTTGTGGAAATACCACCTAGCACCACTCTTTGCACAAACATGGAA